AAAATCATTTTATTTTTGAATTTTTTGGGAGTAATACTCATATAGGGCAAAAATCACGTGCTTACANCTTCATCAACTTGGACTTCTTTCAACTTGTCATTGTGTAATTTACTTCTTCTTTCATCAACTTTGGATGCTGATAAACCTGCAAAATCTTTCTCCGCTTGAGTCAGTTGCAACGAGAAAGTGGGCCCATCAAAATTGAGAATTTTGGTGGGTATACCTCTGGGTAGTCTGTTGAGTGGCGTTGCATCCGACATTAGATAGAAAACTCAAAGAATCCTGGTGATTAACAATTCAAATGGAAGATATATCAGAAAATTGTGTAAATTCGCTAAAAAAACTTATAGAAACAAACTAATGAAAAAGCAATTTCGAAGTAGTTGAATTACCTACGGGGAGAAGATTTCCAAAATACAACTGTGAAGCTCTAAAAAACACTTGAGAACCAACTTGCCCGTCAAAATACGCTTGAGAACAGTTGCGAAGAAGAATGGCGTGTGGGGTGATAATGGCGGAGAAGTATAGGCGATAATGGCGGATGAGGGTTTTTGAAGTGTATGGAACGTGTGTTTGTGGGGGAAGAGGGAAAAATGTATTGAAGAAGAGAGAAAAAAGTNATTGAAGAAGAGAGAAAAAAGCTGATGAGAGGAGATATACGCTAATTAGGTGAGAGAAAATAAAAAAAAATGAGATAGAAAAATATTTTGTAGCATATATTAAGCCTTAATTTTAGGATGGAACTAAATTTAAATTTTTTGCTATAAACTAAAAAGGGTATTTATAGAATGTAATATTTTAAAAGGGTATTTATAGAATATAAATAGGGTACTAACCTATTCTATAGGTGGTAAAATTTCCTTCTTTTTTTAGGTTAGTTCCAAAGCAATAATGAATTATTTGACTACAAATACAAGCGTTTGTGCAGGAATCACATTATTGCACCTATAAGTTTAAACCGTTCACGCGTTATACTCCCTCCATTCACTTTTACTTGTCATATTTCGCTTTTCGAGAGTCAATTTGATTATTTTTTGATAAATTGCATAAGATTTTCTTAATATTTTAAAATTAAAATTTGATATTCAGAAATTATACAAAAAAATACTATAATTTGTAATTTTTCTCATATCAATATGATAAAAAAAAATACTCCCCCTGTTCCAATTTATGTGAACCTATTTCCTTTTTGGTCCGTTCTAAAAAGAATGACCCCTTTCTAAATTTAGTAACAATTTTGCTTAAACTTACAATTGTACCCTTAATAAGAAGCTTTTATAACCACACAAATACCCTGGCCTCTTTTTGACTTGTTTAGGACCACAAATTTCAAAAGTCTTCATTTTTTCTTAAACTACGTGCTCAGTCAAACATGTTCACATAAATTGGAACGGAGGGAGTACATGTTAACATGTTGGTCAAAGTTTATGTAGTTTGACTCTCGAATAGCGAAACATGACAAGTATAGGTGAACGGAAGGAGTACATCCTTAAGCTCGGGAGGGTCGGGTGATTTAAAGGCAAACACATCACCTACAACTATCAAAATAAAGGCATTCATGACTACTTGAATTATTTTACTAATCAATTTATCATTTTTATTAAGTTAATATGGCTAGTCGCAATAATTATTTGGTCATTATATTTACAAGGCAACATATATAAAGTCCCCCTTAAACTTATCCAGACAACATGTTTGAACACTTAAACTAAACGAACGTTCTTTTAAACACCCCTCCCTTTTTAAAAAAAAAAAACTTTTCTTTAATTAATGTTTTCCTTTTTTTCTTTCTATATCCACATTTTCCCTAAACTTGTACCCTTCTTCTTCCATCCAACAACCACCCACAGTGTGCTATACCACCATATCAGTCGCCTCCTATCTTCACTTCCTTCATCCCCATCCCCACCCCACCACTCCACAACAAAACAAAGAAAAAACATACTTTAATTTTCATGACATAGACAGAGAGCTCACCGGCGAAATTTTCTCGGCGTAAAAGATTCGGTGCTTCCTTCGGCCTTCGTTACAGGTTTTGAGGTGGGGAGGGAGAACAAATTTTCCGGCGTAAAAGATTAAGTTTACATGAAAACTTTCACTGCTTCCTTCGGCCTTTCACCATTTTCCGATCTGGTTCTTCATCCATGAAAGTGGTGGGGATAGGCTGCAATAATAACAAATTCCATTAGAGTTGCAGAGAAATGATATTATGTGAAAATTACCTCAGAAAAGTAGAGAAGGTGACTTAAATGGTTGTAATATACAACAATGAGGTCATGCCGGAAAGGGTAGCTGCCGGAACTTTTCTTCCTCAACTTCGCTGAGGTTGTGGGGAAGAACGAAGAATGCTGGGGTGGGTGAAAATGAAAAAAACCATTATAGAAAATATAAAAAAAAAATGAGTTTTTGACATGTGGAGGTGCGTGTAGAACACCTCCCATGTGGTTTTGCACTTCGAAGGAGGTATTAAATTCACTTGAAATGAAAATGGGAGGGGGGGGGGG